ATGACTTGGCCCCCATGATGGCCATACTTAGAGGCTTAAGGGAATGAAGCGTGGGCTATCAGTACAGTCATAATGGGTTCATCAGTACCATGAACCTCCAAGTAAGGACTTACAAATGTGCGCAGAGACTCAGGCACCGACAGCCTGTACACCGCGGGTTTAGGGTTTAGGGTTTAGGGTTTAGGGTTCAGGGTTTAGGGTTTAGGGTTTAGGGTTTATTTCATGGGCCCTTAATATGGTCCCTTTCCCCCCCCTTAAAGGGTTCTGAAGTACGGGCCCTTAATTTGTACAAGGTTTATGAGGGATATAAGGGCCTTAAGAATACTAAGGGGCCATGTAACTACCCTAAGATTGTCAGCTCACACGACGACCTCACTGTTTGAAGGGTTTCCTGGTGTTTTTGCAAGACCCGAACTGGTCTCCTACACTCCGAAGCAAAGCAAGCAAAGCAGCATCCGAGCCCTGAAAACGAAAACCTTTCCTAACCCAAGAGGCCCTACAAGCCCTAAACCCTAAACAGTAGAAGCCTTTAGAAATCAGCCCTCAACCCCAGGAGGCAAAAACTAACCCCAAACCCTAAACCCTAACCCCCCCCCCCCAAACCCCAAACCCTAAACCCTAAACCCCAAACCCTAAACCCCAAACCCTAAACCCTAAACCCTAAACCCCCCTAAACCCCAAGCCCAAAGCTCCATTGCGTGGAACATCGTCCGAGCATCGGGGTTCCAGGGATCGCCGTCGACGACACGACCTTCCAGAAGTGCACCACTAGGATCCCGAGGCGGCAGCTTAGGGTTTAGGGTTTAGGGTTTAGGGTTTAGGGTTTAGGGTTTAGGGTTTAGGGTTTAGGGTTTAGGGTTTAGGGTTTAGGGTTTAGGTTTAGGGTTTAGGGTTTAGGGTTTGGGGCTCAGGGTCTCTCCGGTTGCGCGTTTAGGTCGGAGCTGAGGCTAAGGGTGCTGCTTCCCTGCCACACGCTTTGAAAAGCCTCATCGACCCCCTTGAGTCCTCCCCCCTTGGTTCTGAGTAGGGAATGAGGGAAGAAGGGCCCTATAGAGTTTCTTAAAGGGTATATTTAGGGCCCTAGGGAATGAGGGAATAAGGGCCCTAAAGAGTTTCTTCAAGGGTATATCTGGGGCCCTACCTCCCTCATTCCCTGCTAGGAACCAGCCAGGGACGGACACAGAATCAGACAGACAGTCGTTTGAATATCCTAAGCCCTAAGCCCTAACCCTAAATGTCCATGTACCTACGTAGCATGTACTTGGGCAGCCTCTTTGAGGGCCAAGTATGTACTAAGTAGGTACATGGACCCTCAGGGTAAGCCTGTACGCCCTAAGCCACAACCTTTGTCAAGAAGCCTGAATGGGGGGTGAAGGTTATTGAAGGTTCTCAAATCCCTTATAGAACCCTGAAGGTCTATGGACCTGTATAGTATATATATATATATATATATATATATTTTTATTTATTTATTTATATATCTTGGCCCTAAAGCTACTCTATATAGGAGCCCCCCCTTGCAAGGCCCAAGTGTTCTACTACATGGGTACATGGACCCCTTGGAGGGGAATTCTCGTTTGAGTCCCACCCAAGTTGTGCGGCTCCATAGTGCCCCCCCCCCCCCCCCCAGCTCCTCGGTCTCAGTTGTGGCCCTAAACCCTAAACCCTAAACCTCCTAAACCCTAAACCCTAAACCTCCTAAGCCGTCCAAAGCGCGCAAGGCTCTGGCCCAACAGCATGGTTGGCTTGAACTCCTTCCGATTGTTCAAGGCTCCCCCAGCTTGCTGTTGGAGACGGGCGGAGCCAAGTCGTAGCCTAGTCGTAGAGTAGGTAACCTTCAACCTTTTGGGATCATATATAAATCCCCTTAGAATCCCAAAGGTTCAACTTAAGTTCCCCCAGGCTACTGGACAACTAAGGTAGGGTTGAGGGTCGGCGGCTTCTCCGGGCACTCCCCTCTGAAGTGGATGCGTCTTCTGCCGATCATTCGAAGTTCGAGTCTCTGAGGTTGGGGTTTAGGGTTTAGGGTTTAGGGTTAATTTAGGGTTTAGGGTTTAGGGTTTAGGGTTTAGGGTTTAGGGTTTGGGCTCTGCATAATGCCTTTGGGGGCCTGGAGTTTTGTGGTTAGTTCGCTATGAAGTCAGACGACTATCGGAACCAAGAGGCAGATGAAGCAAACTTGAGTTGAGAGCTTCTGGAAGTGTTTCTTCAGGCAACATTTCTTGGGCTTGCGGGCTTGTGGGGTTTCCGTGCTCCGGGGGGGTGGCATCTTGAGGACCGAAGGAACCTTAGATTTTGCATTGTACCCTGCGGCTACTACCCCTAAACCCTAGCCCCCCAGCCCCCTAAACCCTAAAACCCTGGCACCTCAAGGGGGCAAGAATAGGGGCGGGCTCTCGGTTGTTATTGCAAGTGGCCAACAAGTCTCCCGAAACACTGCCACATGTGTATGTCACAGCGCTGTGGGGCGGGCGGGGACGGGGGAGAAAAAAAAACGGGGGAGGGCTGGGGCGAACTTCCACAGTCCCATTGCCAGGAGTTCATCGTTGCCCCTGCGTAAACCCTTAAGCCTAAGCCCTAGAAACACCCGAAGCCTAAACCCTAAACCCTAAATCCTAAACCTCTCCCCTGAACCCTAACCCCCAAACCCTAAGCCTCTCCAGGCATGGGACGCGACCCTTGGACCGCCTATCATGGTCTCGGTGATTTCCACCAGTCGGAGGGGGGGGGGGGTTCGAGGTCTGGGGTGTAGGGTTTAGGGTTTCTGCCGAAACCCCTACATTCCTTGGGCTTAGGGTTTCGGGCGCCAGCTTGTGCGAGTCGGGGTTCCTTCCAGGGCTTCGGGTTTATGATTCAAGGCTTCCTGCGGACAAGGTAAGAGCTTAGTAGCCGAATGAGTACAGTTTTACACTTTTTGGGGATACCATAAACTCCCCAACAGCACTGACAGTGTACACTTTTGGGGGGGCTTACGAACTCAGCAACTACGTTGCTAGCCTGGGCCTTGGGACATGTTGCATGTTCCCTTATTTGGGTTTAAGAGGATCCCAGATCTTAGGAAGATTTGTTTCAAAGGGTGCACGTTTGGGGGGGGGGGGGCTTGCGAACTCAGCAACGAAGAGAAGGATTCGAATCCCTTCGATGAAAGCATACCGTAGGGTGGTGCCTGAGTTCTTGTTTGCGGCTCCTTGTCTTGTTCAGCCCAGGGTTTTGAGCACGAGCTTAACAAACTACAATGGAAGTGGGGTAGAGTTCAACCTTGGGCACGTCGCATGATTTTGCCCTTCCCTGGGCCTTGGCTTTCACACAGTGCGGGTGGCCTCTTCGGCTCGTATGTCAGCGAAGGTGCAGCCGTGGCTTTGGCAAGACGTTTGGTTTTACCTGAGGGGCATCCAGGTGCTCTCTTCGTGCGAATGGCTTTGAGTATTCCTTGTCATTCTTGGACGCAGGACGTTTTGGCGATTTTGGATTTTGCAATGTGAAGGCTTGCCATCGCGCATCCCGCTGTTGTTTGAGGCCGAGGGCTTTGACCCGATTCAGTTAGACGCAGCGAGATCGAGCTCATCTTTGCGAAAGGATTTACTCAGGCGCTACAGACTGGAAATTGTCAGACCCATATTGCTGGAATATGACACGGCAGCGGGGGAACAAGCTCGGGGGAAACTGCTCCCAGGGTTTACTTTCTCGTTTGAAGACCTCGGGCGCTCAGTTGGGCTGGGAGAAGTCTCCGAGAATATTCGTTCCCAGACTGGCCCTGGAGCATCCTTGTGGCTTCGATGTTGGGCAATCATAGGCATTACGGGTGCGTGGCCACTTTGTTTATTTCAGTTCATGGTACTTATTACCCCCCCTTCCTTAAGTGCCCCAATATGGACATAATTGGGCGATATGTACAGATATTATTGGGTTAATAGAAGTACCCTGAACCTCCAAAGTATAGGTTACGCCGGTTGCGGCTGCTTCTTGACTCTCCGACCCTCCCAAACCACCAAACAAATGCCTGTAAAAGGCAAAACCCTCTTGGTATCCCAGTGGTACCCTTTTGTGCATTTTTGTTCGTTCAAGGTTCCCTTAGAAAGTAGCCAACCCCGAAAAGAACACCCTTCTGATAATCGGTTGCTGGGCCACCGAATCCTCAACTCCAGGGTTTAGGGTTTAGGGTTTAGGGGTTTAGGGTTTAGGGTTTAGGGTTTAGGGTTTAGTATTGGGTTTACAGCCTATAAACCCTAATCCGTGCTGGTTCACAGTGCAGTCACGCTCCGTTGCTCAGAGACAGCGCCGAGTAAACCCGAATCTTGGGATGTTCCCCCTGAGACAAACAGTCCTGAACAGGAGTTACATGTTCTTATACCTATTAAGGACTGCTGTTGTAAAAGGGGGCACCCCAACCCGAAACCTTAAAAACCCTAAACCCGAGGAACTGGCCGAACGACCAGAAGTCCAAAGCCTGGTCGGCCCTGAAGGTGGGAATGGATCACGAGGGGCTCTTGGGGCGGCCCGTGAAGGGCATCCTAAGTTCACCCTAAACCCTAAACCGATTGGTTTAGGGTTTCGGGTTTTTGTGAGGGTTTGAGGCTTACTGTAGGTTTTGTTTTAAGGGATCGTTTGTCCCCGGCTTGTGTCAGCAGCCCGTGAACAGTTTAGGGTTTAGGGCCCATCATAGTTGATCCTTTCCCCGAAGCCCTAAACCCTCGAGAGCACGTGCCAAAGCCCTGAACCCTAAACCCTAAACCCGAAGCCCCCTGACGACATCCCTCGGTACTGCGACCTATGGTTCTACGCGTGTGTTCATGTGGAGAAGCATCGATCATTCTGGAATGACAGGAATAATGTCATCTCGACTCAAGTTTCCTGACGGAAGCTCCTCGTTGCAGATTGAGAAGCGCGAGGTCTGCAGGGTCATGGGTTGAAGCCTAGCTCGAACTTCTTATCCATGATTCCATAGGGGTCAAGGAGGGGCTTAGGGTCCTTAGCCTTACACCTCGCTTCCTTGTGTTCCCATGGCGCGTCGTTCGGGCGTCGGCGTGCTGCTGGCCGCGCTGGCGCTTGCAGGCCGCGTGTCGTGCATTCGGGGTTTGGGCTGCCACTGCTGCAAGATCTCCGACCCTGGCCTGCTAGTCTCTCAGCAGGCCTTACACCTAAATCTCTAAACCCTGAGCCCTAAACCCTAAACCCTAAACCCTAAACCCTAAACCCTAAACCCCATACACAACAATCCTCTGGAGCCAGTTGCCGGATGCGCCTTCAGCACGATCCGTGGGCGCACTGCGCGGCAGGCAACCCCCAACTTTGGCGCCTCGGCCCTTTCTTTAGTAAGGATCTTTGTGGTGCTTTACTGTAACTTTAGATCCTTAGCCTTTTTGGGTTTATTGGGTTTTCTTAATAAGGCAGCTAAAACTTAAATGTATAGCTACCCTGCTCAAGGGATGGTCGTAGTGTAGGGTATGTGATGTGATCCCTGAACGCTAAACCCCTAAACCGTAAGCCCTAAGCCCTACACCAACTACAAGGGTAAGTTTGGCCCCAAGGCTCTGTGCAGGCTTTGGGGCTTTTGTTTTCTGGTAGTGTGTCTGGCATGATCTTTGTGGTCCTAACACTCGGCACTTGGAGGTTCATGGTTCGTAGTAAGTGGCATTGTAATGTGAGGCTTTAGGGTTTAGGGTTTAAGTAGCATGAGCCTCCAAGTAGAGTATTGGATCTCAGGTGCAGGGTGCGTTTGTGTCCGTGGCACTGATGCAAGTGCTGCAAGTATAGGGCGATAGCGGCATGTGGGCACTCGTAAATCTCTACCCCCAATCGAACTCAACCCTAAACCTTAAACCAAAAGGGGGCAGTGGTCTGAGGGCTTTGGGCTTTGGGGGGGGGGGGGGGGGGGGGGGGGGGGGGGGCGGGGTTGATTTGTTTTGTGGAATTTGTCTTGAGAGGTGCCGGGGGGGCAGGGGTTTCAGGGTTTAGGGTCTAGAGGCCGCGGCTTTGGGGGTTCAGGGCCACCCACTCCCCATGCAACCATTTAAAATAAGGGAGAATTCCTCAATTTTCCCTACTGAGAACCAAGTTCCTGCAAGGTGAGTTGCTGGGCTCCATTGGGAAGATGTCAGAGGCAAGCGCTGTGGTCCCCTTATAGGGTTTGGGGTTTAGGGCTTAGGGTTTAGGGTTATCTGCCCATCTAAGCCCGAGTCACCCTAAACCCTAATCCCCAAACCTGCTATTTTCATTGTGGTTCTGGGGGGGGGGGGGGGGGTGTAGGTTTCATTGAATCGTTTCGGGTTCAATGTGCGAGTTTTTACTAGTGGCATAACTTACATGTTTCGGATCTATTGCGGCTTCGATGTTTGGAAAGGTACTTTAAGGCATTCCTGGCCCGTTGCTTCGCAGGTTTGGGATAGACGATCGTAGAGGTGAGAGCCTGTTGAGCTGCAGTGTTGTAGGTTTAAGGGTTTAGGGTTTAGGGTTAGAATGTGGCGGCGTTAGGGGTTCTTTGTGGTGCTTTACTGTAACTTTAGATCCTTAGCCTTTTTGGGTTAATTGGGTTTCTTAAGAAAGGCCGCTAAAACTTCAATTTATAGCTACCCTGCTAAGTGCAGCCAAGGGTTGAGGCTCAAGACCACGGCTTAACTTCGGGTGGCGTCGGACATGCAACCTGCGGCACCAACGGCAAGCTCCAAGGAAAGGCATCATTCCAAACCTCAAACCCTAAACCCCCAACCACAACTCCATACAAAAAGCATAAGCCCTAAACCCTAAACCCTAAACCCTAAACCCTGAACCCTGAACCCTGAACTCTGAACCCTGAACCCTGCCCCCTGAACCCTGAACCCGAACCTCCCAGCAAAAGAAGAAACAACAACAGGTGGCGAAGAAGATGCCGGAGCTTCAGAAGCGGCTACGAGAGACACCCTCCGTCGGCACAGCGCTGGGAGGCTCCCAGCGAAGCGCACGGTCTTCGGGTTTAGGGTTTTAGGGTTTCGGAAATTCGCTACGAGGCCTGGATGCAAAAGGGTTCAGGGATTGAGGCCTTAGGGTTTTTGAAGTTTTTTTTTCTAGGTTTTTAGGGTTGTAGCAGTCTCCAGGTTCCAAAAAAGAGGCTTCTTGGTAGGGTCTGCGGGATTGTGCAGTTTTGGACGTTTTGTGGCTTGCCCCTTTTTTCGGGTTTAGGGATTTGAGGGTTTTGAGGGTTTAGGGCTAAAGGGTTTAACTTGCAGCTTTTTGAAGGATGCTCAAACCCCCCCCCCCCCCCCCCCCAATCGCAGAAGTTTCTTTCCAGGTAGATTAGGGACCCAAAAAGGACATAAGCATAAGCATTCTATAGGGACATCCCTACCTTTTTGGGCTTCAGTATAAGGGGATTTATATGGGATATCCCTACCCTAAGTTTTGCTTATGTGCTTTTTTGGGGCCCTAGTAGGGTCCCTCCCGGGGTTAGCTTTACAACAAACTCGGGCCTTTGGGGTCCCAAAAAATTAGTGCGGCACCCATAGAATAAGAATCCTGAAAAAAGGACCCTAAGTTAGAGGTCTACCCACATGTGGTTTAGGGTTTAGGGTTTTTACCCTAAACCCTAAACCCTAAACCCTAAACCCTAAACCCTAAACCCTAAACCCTAAACCCTAAACCCTAAACCCTAAACCCTAAACCCTAAACCCTATGGCTGAGGCCGCGTAAAGGTCACTGTCAGTGGAGACCTAGCGCCCCTTGGAGTGGAGATTGACGAGGCCGAGCTGACACTCCTTCATGGAAGGGGATTGGGGTTTAGGGTTTAGGGTTTAGGGTTTAGGGTTTAGGGTTTATAAGGTTTTAGAGTTTAGTGTTTGGGGTTTAGGATTTAGGGTTTAGGTGTGTTTGTGTGTGTGTGTGTGTCCAAGTCGGGGTACTGGATACGTCATGCCAGGCAGCACAGTTTTCCTGCTGGGAGCGTTTAGCCCTTGGTTCATACCTAAAGGCTCCTAGGTGGTACCTTTTTGGGGTAGTATACTAGAATCACCTATAACGAACCCCTAAACCCTAAACCCTAAACCTTAACCCTAAACCCTAAACCCTACAGCCTAAACCCTAAACCCCAAAAGGAAACACATTGGAGCCTTCAGGTAGAGTGGATGATGAGCCCGAGCGTTGCCAGGCCGTGATGGAGGAGGGCTTGCCAGCAAAAGTCTTGGCCGACGCCGTCTTCGTGGCCATGAAGGTGGCGTAGGGTTTAGGGTTTAGGGTTTAGGGTTTAGGGGTTTAGGGTTTAGGGTTTAGGGTTTAGGGTTTAGGGTTTAGGGTTTAGGGTTTAGGGTTTAGGGTTTAGGGTTTAGGTAGCCATTTCAGGGGGCGAGCCGCGACGAGCCCGTCAAAGGAAGAAGAGAGCCACATTTAGCAAGATAAAGTAGCGTATAGATTGGGACTGGGATGTTCCCCGTATACTAACAGTCCTTGATAGGGAATATAATAGGGGGCTACGAGAATCCTTGTCAAGGAGCTGATGTACAGAAATGTATGTGTCGATTTGCATATCCCACGGTTGAAGTTCATGTGTGAGAGTGATGTAGCCTGGCGTTTGTCAGAAGGCATGCCAATAGGCCAGCAACTGCAAACGATGAATGACAGGTAGTTTATACAGAGAGAGAGAGAGAGAGAGTTTAGGGTTTAGGGTTTAGGGTTTAGGGTTTAGGGTTTAGGGTTTAGGGCTTAGGGTGACAGAAAGTACCTTAATTGGGCTAGAAGTACAGTTATAATTGGGTCAATGAGTACCCTGAACCTCCAAGTAGGATTACCCTGAACCCTAAACCCTCAACCCTAAACTCTAAACCCTAAACCCTAAACCCTGTACGAGTACCATGAACCCCCAGGCACCTTCCGTGGAAGTTTTGGAAGTCTTGTTTGGCTCCTAGAGGGTCCATTTGTATTACGATTATGGAATTAGATACCCAAAAACCATACTAAATAGGGTTTAGGGTTTAGGATACTTAATGCCACAATGGTACTACAAATGGACCCTCTGGATAACTGGCAGCCCTGGACATAGGAGGCTCACAACGCAACAGTTGAGCTCTCAAGGTGCCTTGGCCAGCTGACACGTGTATGCTCATTGATGCGGGTTAGGGTTTAAGGTTTAGGGTTTAGGGTCTAGGGTCTAGGGTTTAGGGTTTAGGGTGTAGGGTTTAGGGTTTAGGGCTAGGGTTTAGGGCACCAATGTAGGCACCCAAGCCCGCAACCTGTGCAGTACTCACTTGGGGGCCCAGGTCTTCGGCTTCGCGTGTATGTGCACATGTCTGGTTGCAGTTAGTTCATCTCGGGTCTTTTGGGCTTTTGGGGCTTAGAAGTTGCAGCGAAGGCAGCAGAACCTTTTCAGACATTGATGCGCAACAGACAGAAACTCCTGCCTGCATTCTTTGTGGTGCTTTACTGTAACTTTAGATCCTTAGCCTTTTTGGGTCTATTGGGTTTCTTAAGAAGGCAGCTAACAATTGAATTTTATAGCTACCCTGCTAAGTGCAGCCAAGCATTGGTGGCCCAGAAGGTCTAGGCCTAGAGCCCGATGGGCTTGCGACCACAGTCCCCACAGCTGCTTACATGCGGGCAAGCCCCGGGTCCTGAATAGGTAGGGTTTAGGGTTTAGGGTTTAGGGTTTAGAGTTTAGGGTTTAGGGTTTAGGGTTTAGGGTTAGGGTCCAGGGTTTAAGGTTTAAGGTTTAGGGTTTAGGGTTTAGGGTTTGTGCAGGTTTATGGTGCATTTAAGTGGGTTAGAAGTACAGTTACCATGAACCTCCAAGTACACCCCTCTTTTTTCCAAGAACCTAAACAAGAAGGATTGCATTCAGAAGCACATCAGATGTGAGACCCTACTCTGGTTTCGTCACGGCCATCCATGGCAGCTGGTGCTTTGGGTTTTTGATTAGGGTCTATAGGGTTTTTGGGTTTCGGGCTTTGACAGAACAAATTGAGGTTTTGGGGCCGGTTCAAAAAGGGGATTCATCAGAAGGGTTTAGGATTGGGGTCTATAGGGTTGAGGGCTGGTTCGACCCTTATAAACCCTAAACCCTAAACCCTAAACCCTAAAGCTTCCCGTGCTTTTGCAAGGACAGAGCTGACGAAGTTCTATAAGGACGGGAAATAGACCTGCAACCGAGTTTTGGGGCACAGAGGTACCCCTATTCCCTGCTTTTTGGGGCTTAGGAATCTACGGCCGAGGGTTGTAGGCTTTAGGGGTTTGGGGCTTTCTTGAACAACAACTTCATGAAACCATAGATAGGGTCCGTGCAACCGCAATGTCCCCTTTTTCGGAAGGGCCTTGATCCATACCCCCCCCCCCCCCCAAACAAAAAGCAAAATGAAAAACATCTTAATACGTACGCGAGCACACGCGCGCGCAGCGCATGAGATGCCGGCGTTCGCACTGTATGCTCAATCAGTGGCATAGAAGAGGGCTTTGCGTGTAGCGGTCTCAAAAGTCCGTGCACGAGCTGATGTATCACTCGGGCGGAAGAAGGGTTTGTGGTCAAAAGGGTTTGGCTTTACGGGTTTAGGGTTGCAAAAGGGTTTGATGCATCGGCTGCTGTGGGAGGGGCTGATCGTGTTCTTGCGAACCTTGGCGGCAGCCTTTACAGTTGGTTGGCACATAGGCGTTTCCTCGACAAATGGTGCACATGTAGGTTGGTGAAAGTCTTATGCTGTTGAATGCCGCTTCGTGTGGTTCAGGTTTTCTGCTGAGCTTTATTTATGCAGGCACAGCCTGTACGAACTTTCCAGCCTGTTGCCCTGCAGCGCATCGTGAGTGTGAGCTAGACGGGCAGCAAGCAGAAGAACCCTAAACCCGCAGGCCTCGCCTCATGAAACAACCTTCACCTATAGGAGGCTGGACAAGTACAAAGGTCCATGAATCCAAAGCACACATGGGCATTTCCAAAAATCGGGGTACCCCCTTTTAGGCCCCAAATAGAATAGAATCCCCTTGAAGGGACCCCCCCCCCAAAAAAAAAAAAAAAAAGGGGGTACCCCTTTTTGCGGAAACCCCCACATCCAATCGGCGACAGCACTAAACCCCTATAACTCTTTGTCATAGTTGGGAAACATTTTACATCTTCAAGGGTACTTAAACCCAATAAGGAAAAATAAGATTTTTAATATTCTCCCAACAATGAACTATAACTCCAGGACATGGGTGTGCCGCTGCCAGGGGCCGGCGCCGGCGGAATACCCGGTGCTCCCAGTGAACACGTAAGCCTGACTGGGGTTTAGGGTTTAGGGTTTAGGGTTTAGGGTGGTTTTGGGGCCCAGAAGGCCCGGGTTGCCGTCACTTGTGCCAAAGCTTGCTGAATGCTTAGCACAAGCTTTCCCCCCCCCTGGTCCTTACTAGGGGTACCTATATAATCGGTTTCGGGTTTAGGGTTTAGGGTTTAGGGTTTAGGGTTTCCCTTAAAGTCTATATTGGGGGGGTACAGGGTACCTCATTGCCTCATTCCTTACGAAGAACACCCAATACGAAGGTACTTATCACCCAATTACAACCAGTATTAGGGGACTTAAGGGGCTCATACGTGGGTTATAAGTACAGTCATGATTTGTTAAGAAGTACCCTGAACCTCCAAGTTTTTACCTAAACCCTAAACCCTAAACCCTAAACCCTAAACCCTAAACCCTAAACCCTAAACCCTAAACCCTAAACCCTAAACCCTAAACCCTAGGCCCTGAACCTCGAAGCAAGCTGTTTTGCTTCTCCTCTCAGCAGGTGCCCCCGCCCCTGCGCCTGCGCCCGCGCCATCCATGGAGTTCGATCCCGCCGGTGCCTGGACCGCAAATGATGGCATCGAGGTGTGCGTTTAGGGTTTAGGGTTTAGGGTTTAGGGTTTAGGGTTTAGGGTTTAGGGTTTAGGGAAGTTTAGGGTTTAGGGAAGTTTAGGGTTTAGGGGTCAGGCCTAGGGCCATAGAGGCGATTCTAAGGAGAGGTAGGCAACCCGAAACGGGCTTGTGGGCTGGAGCTCAAAGTCCTGAAGCTAGGCGATCGGTCTGTGTTGCTGGAGGCTTATGAACATGCCGACCCGGGGGTTGGCTGCTGTCCTAGGTAGGATAAGGGGGACCCTTAAAAGGGAACCCCTTCTTAACCCTCTGCTGGCCCTCTTAAACAGGGACCTTATTCAGAGGGTCTATATCCCCAAGGGGCCCCCTAATCTTAGCCCCTGTGCTGGGTCCTGCTGAAACTTTCTGGGTGGGGGGTCGGGGCGGGCCACCTGGCAACATCGTATCTGGCTTGGGCTCAACAGGCACCCCGCTAAGTGCAAGCTAAATGGGTACCTGGCCCGAAGCCGTCCCCACCCTAAACCCTAAACCCTAAACCCTAAGGTCTCGGCACGAAGCTGGTCGACTGAGGGGGATCGGCTCGGACGTCCTATGGGCTGCCCTGGAGAGGAACCTGCGTGGCAGTTGATCAAAATATCTGCTCCCCCAAACTACCCGGTTTCCTTGTATAAACCCACGGGAACGCCTAAAGCATTTGCTAAGAAGGATCTGTTAGATCAACCCATATACCATTAACAGAAGGTGCAAGCTGAATCTAGTGCACGGGTAGAGCTCTCTTGGTAGAGGCGCACAGGCCCCCAAATGTACCCATTGTGACGGTCCAAAAGCCCTCCAAGTACAAGCTTCGTACTTGTTTTACATTTCCTCACCCCCACTACGATGGCGGCTAAGGGTTAAGAGCCCGGCTCAACAAACCCTAAACCCTAAACGGTGAACAGGAAAGCAGTAGGGTTGACAGGGCCCCTGGGACTTATATGCCCACGCAGCCAGACCTGGTCACGTAATCAGGCGTCTAGGAGTAGTAGGATTGAGGGCTGAACCCTAAACCCTAAACCCTAAACCCTAAACCCTAAACCCTAAACCCTAAACCCTAAACCCTAAACCCTAAACCCTAAACCCTAAACCTATATATATATAAACCTATATATATATATGAGAAAGGTCCCAAGCCCTATGAATCACAGAGCCGGACTGCCTTGGTTACAGATGGCGGTGGCTTCTCTTGAGCCCAGAACTTCCCCCGAACCGGTATATCAGAGTCTTTTAGTCGCGTGCGGGGCTCGCAGAAGGAAAAAAGAGGTGTGCTGGTTCGATCTACAGTCCTTTGCTTTCGATGGTGGGTACTACGAATTTCAGGGCCCGAGACGCCTCGTTGGCCCTAGAAACCCTGTAAGCCCTTTCAACCCCCATAATCCCTAGAATCCGTATAATCCTCATAGTCCCTGTAATCCCTATGGTCCTTGTAATCCCTGTAAACCCTACTGTACCCCATAGTTCCAAATAACTGAGCTGCATTGCTTTTATTGGCGCATGAGTATAAAGTATAGTGTTTTCCGCAGAAGGGCGGAAGAGGTAAAAAGATTGCGCGAAAGGGTCCGCGCGGAAGGCGTGGCCAAGCATGTTTGAGAATTTATTTAAATCACAATCTATTGTAAGAAGTCAAACGGTACCTCGGAATTCTATTGCTCACACCCACACACAACACGCCGGCAACCACAAGAATCGCGCCGCATCGCTCCTGCAAGCCGTTTCGGAGTTCGGAAGGGTCGCGGAAGGTCGCTTGAAGCCCAGCGCCCATGCCTCTCCCGTTTCTTTGCTTCCGGCGCCCCTCGCTAAGCCCTATAGACCCTAAGGTCTCCCTCGCGCGCAGCCCTCAGATCATGCAGCAGAAGCCCTATAACCCTGTACCCTTGACCCTATGTCGCTTAACCCTTAGCCTTAGCCATTGATCCTGACCCCAGAGCCTTGACCCACAACCCTAAAACCTAGGGGGGGGGGGGGGGTGTACCTGGACAACATATAACATATATACTCAGGTCTTATAGGGGAAAAAACAAAGCCCCATTGTCGTGGGTGTCGGGCTTCGGGCCTTGCAGGGTTTTAAGTTGGGCTGCTTCCCTTCAAAGGCCGTTGCAGGGCTGCCGGGCTGCTAAGAGCCAACATGTACGCGTAATCAGCTATAGGAGGGCGCCTGTACATGCCCGTATCCGCCCCCCCCCCCCCCCCCCCCCCCCCCAAGTTGATTGGTGGGGCCTTTGCCCTTTCTTTTCGCGGGCGAGGTCTTAGAGCAGTCAACTGGTATGACGAGCTTGAAGGACCCCAAACCCGACGATTTAACCCGAAACCCGAAAATTCAAGGGACCCATATACCCTAAACCCTAAATCCTAAATCCTAAACCCTAAACCCAATCCTAAACCCTAAATCCTAAACCCTAAATCCTAAACCCCATGCGGGAGCTCTGGGTTGCTTCGTGCGGAGGCCGTCGTCTCCGAAAGCAATGCCAGCGTCTTGGTCGTCGCCTCAGGTCGGTGGCCCTTCGAGGGCTTAGGGCTGGGATGTTTCCCCCCTTATACGAACAGTCCTTAATTATAATCGGGGGTACCATAATCATGATCCCTATTTTCCAACTTAGTTCTTAGGAAGGGCCAAGAAGGGGGGGGGGGTTCGGAAAGAGTTTGGGTACTCCAAACCACGCAAAACCCTCACCCCGCTTCCAAGAACAACCAAATCACGAGTTGAGCAAAGTCACCCTCCTAGTTCCTTGTGCTCATTAAGTGTCTAGTATAATGGCAGTTGAGTTCAAACTGCCGAGACAACAAGACCGAAACTGATCGACGCCGCTTCTGGAAGGTGCTTCCGATTGAACAAATCGAAAAAGCAACATGCTTTATAATGCAAGTCTTCGAACCCTAAAGTTAACATTTTGTTCTCCATGCTTTCGTGGATACAAAGTGTTCTTGTAGAAAAATCAACTTTTGGACTGCTCAAGGAACTGATAAATGCAGAAGGTGGAGGAAGTTTCGAGTTATATCGAAGTTGCGAACATTCTTTTCCGCGCAGATTGAGAACCTTTTTACAGCTTCGAAACAGCTTTCAAAACGCAACCGCCACAAAAGACGATACATGAAACCTATATATATATATATATGAATACGTTACATTTGCACAGCCAACACCAAGTTGCTAGAGTCGAAGTCCATCCGAACCACCCTGGCCCCTTTGGGTCATGGCAGTGATGAGTCAGCAAAGGCTTGGCGTTAGGGGGTGTAGGGTTCAGGGTTTAGGGCCTTTGGGGTTTAGGGTTTGGGGACTTGGGGGTTTAGGGGTTTAGGGGTTTAGGGTTACTGATGGCATCAAAGAGTCCCAGCTGCAAAAAAGGGTTACTGATGTCATGAACCATCAAGGTAAGCTCATCATTTGTTCACTCATCCCAAGCAACAATCCTGTGGACATGATGCCCCTTAGTCAATAAGTGTTGTTTTGCCAACCTGCCAGAACTAGTCTACAGGTCGGAACACAAGTGACATGCAACGAGACCGCCGACGATGACGACTGGAGCAATGCGGCTTGTTGGCATCAGCCATAGCAACCCTAAACCCTGAACCCTGCTGCCTAGAAAGAGCCCTGCTACGCCCAACTTGAAGTTGATAGCAGTAAGCTCTATGTTTAGAGGCTTTTTGGGCGGAAAGGTACCTATAAAGGGACCATAATCCAGAACTACCCTCCCCCAGATGTCCGTCGTTTGGGCAAGAGGCCATACCTTGGACCAATGATCCCTGGAATGGGGATCATCGACCCTCAAGATATATGAGCCCAAGCCCTAAACACAAGACCTACACCCTCCAAAACTGACGCCAAACCTCAAACCTACCCCTAAACCCCCAAACCCTACACCGCCGCAAGCCACCCAAAACTACCTTAAGAGTCCCTAAACCCTAAACCCTAAACCCTAAACCCTAATCGCCTCAAACCCACCAACCACCCGAACTTGGTCTCCCACCAACCACCCCCACTTGGTCTCATCCCAGCGGCACCCTTTACACTTCTCTTTTGGTTCCTGGGTTCCCTGATATAAAGTAACCTACCAACAAGGAAAGGGTGGGCTAACCAAGCTAAAGCAAACCCTAAACCCTAAACCCTAAACCCTAAACCCTAAACCCTAAACCCTAAACCCTAAACCCTAAACCTTGACCCTAAAACCTAAAGCCCTCATCTGCTTAGGTTCTGCAGCTGCTGAAACTCTTGGGACGCCACGCGGTGATGGCCGTGGCTGTGGGCAACGCCCCTTCTCCGCCTATGAATGATGAGGGTTTAGGGTTTAGGGTTTAGGGTTTAGGGTTTAGGGTTTAGGGTGTGTATTTTGCTACATGGGTTTAAGGGTAAAGAAAGATGTTCAGTGGATAGCGCATTTAAGAAGTTTGATGGAACTAAGCAACATGCCGAAGAAATATGCTTGGGTGGGCTTGTTGGGCTGAGTTTCGCCTTAGGGTTTGTGATATTTGCACGGGGCAAATAGGCTTAGGGCTCGTGCCTTTTTGATGTCGTGCCTATGCAGTGTTGCAGTGTGATTATAGGGTTTAGTATTTGGAGCATAGTGCCAGCTCCATTGGAGGGACTCTTTCCCTCAACCCTCCCCGAAGCCAGATTCCGCATGTGCAGTGATCAGCATCTGTGTTTCCAGGGCCCTAAACCCTAAACCCTAAACCCTAAACCCTAAACCCTAAAAGGGATCTTGAGGAGTCACGGCCGTTTCAGCTCACCCTGCCAGCGTAGATGTGGAGGGCCCCTGCCATAACCAGGATGGGCTATGAGGCCTTAAAATCCCCACAATGAACCCCACAAAGGGCCTTTGAAAGGACTATGGGGTATAAAAGGCCTTTCAAGGGATGACAGGGTATACAGGGCCTTTTAAGGGGTTCTAGGGCATCAAGGGCCTTTTTGAGGGGATTGTCGGAGTATAACAGCCCATCCTGGAGCAGAGATGGATTTCGCCGGGGGCGAGGCGCCGCTCGGGCGCCTGGCCGTGAAGCTGATGAGGTCGGCCGTCGCCTTGCCCGACCGACTTCCCTCCCTGCTGCAGAGATCTTGGTCCGCGTATGTTACTAGCTGAAATATTTCTGGGGATATGTTACATGTTCCCTTATAGGGTTTAAGAGGATCCAAGAGATCTTGGTCCACTTATGCTACCTTCGTAGCTGAATGAGTACACTTTATACACTTTTTGGGATACTCTAAAATCCCCTGTAGAACTGAGAGTGTACACTTTTTGGGGGGGCTTATTAACTCAGCAGCTACGCTACTAGCTGGGCCCTTGGGATATGTTACATTTCCCCTTATTGGGTTTATGCGGATCCCATATCTTAGGAAGATTTGTTTCAAAGAGCATTTAGGGCCCCTAAACCCTAAACCCTAAAACCAAGGAGATCTTGGTCAGCCGAGGTTAGCTTCTGGAACCCTAAACCCTAAACCCTAAACCCTAAACCCTAAACCCTAAACCCGAAACCCTAAACCCTAAACCCTAAACCCTAAACCCTAAACCCTAAACCCTAAACCCTAAACCCTAAACCCTAAACCCTAAACCCTAAACCCAAGCAGCTCTTGAGGTTAGCTTCTTGAAGACAGAGGTCCCTGAGCTCCTGCGACTGGTCTCCGCGTCCTTGGCGAGGGCAAAGTTCCCCCTGACCTGGCAGGGCGCCCAAGACTTCAGCATGAGCGATCCTTGGGTTTAGGGTTTAGGGTTTAGGGTTTAGGGTTTAGGGTTTAGGGTTTAGGGTTTAGGGTTTAGGGCCAAAATGCAGCCTAAAAGGGTTTAGGGCTTGGGGTCATGTACCCGAATAGTTTTGGGGTTTCCGACCCCAACTTTTCTGCAACATGAACCCTAAAAGGGTTTAGGATTTATATGGTGTAGGTTGTAGTAGGTTTAGGGTTTAGGGTCATATACCCGAATAGGGATTGTAGTAGTATAGGGTATAGGACCCCAATTGTGGGGTTCATTTTCTCCCCAAGGATTGGCTGGATGCCGCGCCCATCTTGGCAGCAGTGGTCGCAGCCTCGCTGACCCCCCTGGCACTGCTGAACGGAGGCAGACAGAAGCAGCTCAGTTGCTGAGTATGTAACCTTTGGGCGGTCTTAGCATCCCATGTCAACCCTAAACCCCAAACCCTAAACCCTAAAACCCTAAACCCCAAACCTAAACCCTGACCCCCCCCTACCCCCCACCCCCCCAGGCAAGGCGGCTTCGACTGGAGCACCTCATGGTGGGTCACCAGGGAGGTCCTGGTTCGAGGCATGGGGCTTCTCGGCGCCCTTGTCCCGGAACAAAACACGATGCTTTTTCGGGTTATATAGGGTCCTGAAGGCAGTGGGGGTTTATAGTAGTTTATAGGGTTTGTAGGGTTTAGGGTCTATAGGGTTTAGAGTTCGGGGTAGCAGGACCCCATGATTTAAAGCCTTTTCCCCTGTTTTGGGGGCTCAAAGGCCTTCTTAATTGAGGTCTTGGGCACTTTTTGCAAATCAGAATTCAGTCCCCCCTGAGCAGAAGTTCCCTCAACCCGCCGCAGGAGAATCCCTAAAACCCCCAAAAGCCAGAGCCCCTCGAGCCTAAAACCCTCAAACCCTACAAACCTGAAAAAAAAACCAACACTCTTAAACCCTCAAACTCTCAAACCCTACAAACCTCAAAAGCCTAAAACTCTTAAACCTAAACATTAAACCCTAAACCCTTAACTCTAAACCCTAAACCCTTAACCCTTAACCCTTAACCCTAGACCCTAACCCAGGCTTTGCTATTTGTGCGGCTTCCTGGTCTCCGCCATTCAGCATCGAGCTTTGTGGGGCTCCCTCGGGCTGGCGCCGGTGACAAGGCACCGGCGGCGGCCTACACCTGTCCCTTGGTTTAGGGTTTAGGGTTTAGGGTTTCGGGGTGCCCTGAATGCACTCAAAATGCAATGTTCCGTGTTGCAGGAACTCCCAAAACAGGGGGCAGTTCGCCCAAAAGGAGCCCTACGAGGGTTCGGGGGGAGGGGGGGGGGGGATAATTTATGAGGGCATGCAGGGTTTGGGGTTTAGGGTATAGGGTCTGCGATCCCGAATATAGGTGTAGGGTTTAGGCAAAAGGGTTCTGGCCATTTCAAAACTTTAAATCCCTAAACCCTAAACCCTAAACCCTAATCCCTAAACCCTAAACCCTAAACCCTAAACGAGCTCATGTGGTCTCCAAGGTCTTCGACCTTTTCGATGACTTGGGCTTTGGGTTTGGAGACTGGCAGTTGGAGCTGGTGAGCTGGCTGGGTGTCGCCTTCTCCCTCCAGCTCCCGAGCTGTGCTTTTGAAAGAATTTCAAATTTTCCTTCTTAGGGGTTGAGGGTATTTAGGGTTGCTTAGAAGGGAGCCTGTACATAAATAGCTTTGAAGGGGGTTGAAACGCACAACTCAGGCTCATGTTTGGCAAGCTGCGGAGTTTGCTGGTGCCGCTGTTCCTCTGGGCCGCGTATCTCTCAATCGTCAACTTGCAAGCGTCCTTCACCTTCAACTATGGCTGGGAATGGCTCACGTGTGAGGTCGGCTTCTTAGTGATATTCCTATGTCCTCTCCTAGACTCTCGTCTAAGCACATGGACTCCACCATCGAGGTTGGTCCTGTGGACAATACGCTGGTGCGCCTTTCGCTTGCTGCTGGGTGCAGGGATGTCCAAGGTAGGCCGAAACTCCAGCGCGTGCTGGCGCGAGCTCACCTGCACGGAGACGCATTACTTCACGCAGCCTATACCAAATCCCTTTTCCTGGTACATGCACCACTTGCCAAGAAGCTTTCACAAGCTGGAGGTTGCGCTGACATTTGTAGAGCAACTCGTGCTGCCCTTCGCGATGCTGGTTCCCCTTCGCTTCTTTCGAGTGACAGCTGCCGTTCTGGAAATCGGCTTTCAGATTCTAGGAATGCCCAGTAGTACCCTCATTCCCTTTTTGGGGGGGTTTAGGTTCCCTTATAAACCCCTTTAAGCAAAAAGGGGCACCCCTTTTAAGCCTAGGTTACTGGGCAGCCTAGGATTGGGATCGTGGGAACAGGCAACTACGCGTGGATCAACTTCATCGGGGCTTTACCTTGCGTGGCGATGTTGGATGATGGTTTCCTGCTAAGCCTGACACCGTGGCCCTGGAGACAGAGGCTACAGCAAGCCGTGCAGGACATAGTAGCTGAGTGAGTACACTTTACACTTTTTGGGATACTAGAACCCTCTATAGAACTCAAAGTGTACACTTTTTGGGGGGGCTTATGAACTCAGCAACTAAGAGGAGGCGTCCGAGCGTGCAGATCTTGCAGCGGAACCGCGGCTGGTACGGCGCACGGTTCGCCGTGGCTACCTGGGTCTGCGCTCTCTCGTCAACGTACTTCTCGTGATGGTCGTGGTGTACAAGTCCAAAGATCCCATCAAGGACCGGGTAGGCCCTTGGGATATGTTATATATATTTCCTTTATGGGGTTTAAGAGGATCATTCATAATTGAGGAATATCATCCCGAGGGCATTATGAGTATAAATTAACAGGGCCAACCCAACAGGAGCTCTTTGGGCCTGCGCCTTGGATCAACAACTACGACCCCTGGTTTCTGATGAATTCGCAGGGCGTCTTCGGCTTCATCAACAAGCACCGACTGCAAGTGGTGTCTTACTTATAACCAGCAGTTGAGAACTTTTAGACTTCTTGGGCTTCCTTCCTTACTTAGGAAGAATAAAGCTCAACCTTTTTTCCCCCTGGGTTTTTTGGAGAAGTAAGGTTTTGAAGTACACCCATGATCCTGTCCCTGGCGGTCCTGGAGCTGTCTGGAAACCTTTGGACTTCAAGTGCCTGCCTGGCACAGTTGATCAGAGACCCTGCTTCTATATCCCCCTTGGGAATACATTTTTTGTTAATATTTTTGTTCATATAAAACCCAAGAGGGTATTAAAAACACATTTTTCTATTATGGTTCTAAGGGGAGTATAGGCTTCATGTCACCTTACCACTATCGCCTGGACTGGGAGACCTGGATCCATGTCACTGCCTCTTTAGAACAGCTCCTTGATAGCCCAGTGGTACCCCTTTCTTCCCTTTTTTTGGTTCAAGGTTCCCTTAGAAAGTACCAAACCCAAAAAGGGTCCCCTGATCATAAGTTGGTTACTGACCTATACCAAGGCTCTGGGTGAAGAAGGCACCAGCCGAAGCTTACCACCAACACCTCCCAGACTTTCTGCAGGCGCTGGTCATCAAGGTCCTCAACGGCGACGACGATGCTGCCGGCCTTCTGGGTGTTCCCGCCCAGGAGATATACAAAGATGGAGCACCACCCACAGCCACTTAGTAGAGTAGGTATTAGATAACCTTTAACCTTTTTGGGTTAATATATTCCCCTTATAATCCCAAAGGTTAATCTTTAAAACCCCTAGGTACTGGACAACTAAGGCCATCTCCATCGACTTTGCCTCCTACACCTTCACCACGCGGAGCAACAGCTCACAGTGGTGGCGCGCCAAGCGCGTGGGCGCGAACTCACTTCGAGCATATGGCCAAGCGAGCGCCCCGAAGCTGAAGGAAGAGGAGGTGCCTAGGATGCCCAGTAGTACCCTTATATTCCTTTTTTTTTTTTTGGGGGGGGGGGGGGGTTTAGGTTCCCTTATCAAACCCCTTTAAGCAAAAAAGGGGGCACCCTTTTTTAAGCCTAATTAAGCTACTGGGCAGCCTAGGTGCGCAAGTCGCCTCGGTGGCGGCATTGGGTCTTGGGCGTGAGCATCGCGACGGCGGTAATGTTTCTTTGGGGGAAAGAGTTTTGCAATTTTAAGGGTACTTGCATCAATAAGGAATATATATATATATGTATTATATTTTTTAATGCTACAAGGAATATATTTATATTTATATTTATATGATATATATTTTGTTAATGCTATCCCAAACATGAACTAGGTTTCTGGAGCAGGGACTGCTGCAGGGCTTCGCTGGCGGCTGGAACTTGCTCGTTGGATCCGCGGCCTGTCTGCTGGTCTTTGCAGTGGTGCCTTATAGGGATGCTTTGGAACATTTTGTTGTTTTTTCGGGGTAGTACTGCAATTCCTAAATTTTAGGGATTCTTGGGAACCATTGTTGATTTTTTGGGTAGCATTGTAATTCCTACTTTTTGCCAGGGTTCCAAGTTCAGCATAGGTGCTGGCTTCAGACTATCCGCCAGCTTTCACGGCCCTGCGCGTGGCCACACAACTCCCGTGGCTGGTCATGGATGAGCTTGGCGTTGCATCTGGCCAACGACTTGCCTATGAGCTTGCCTTCCGCATTTCAGCAGGTGCTGCCGGCATGAACGCTGGCCTTGCCGGCCTGCAGCGATGCTCCAGGCGGCCCTCGTGCGCGGTTCTCGTCGCCCTTCTGCTGGCGGTGGCCTGGATGTGCATGAGGGCCGAATCCGAGCTTCTACCGGCGCCGTGAATATGAACCTGCACTGCGCTTCCGAGCCAGAAACTGGGGATCAGGTTGCCTTTGGAAACCTCAGGCCCAACCCCCACCCCTACCCAGCCAAAGACAAAAGCTCACCCTGTGACCTTTGTTGTTAAGATTGGGGGCAATACAGGAGCCTCAACAATTACCAACAACATCCCCTTGCACCAACTACCCCAAGAAACATAAATTGTGATCAGATAGGCCCGTGCATTCGCCAAACAGCCCGAAAACCTCCAACCCCAAACCCCAACCCCCCTGCTTG